AAGGCAAGACAATAATTTATATAAAATATTCTATGAATAATATGGCTTCTATTCTTTTCCTTTTGGGATACGGAACCCTAAAAATTTACGAAATCTGATCATGCCTAGTCACAAATGCAAGAAATACAAATTTCCCTACTTTTAGGGAAAATTTCCCGTAAATAAAGTAGCCACACAGTTGTATTTTTGTTTACAATTTTCATCCTTGTAAATAAAATATAATATAAAAAAAATATCAAGAATCGTCAATACTTAAGCATAGTAGGTGATTCCTTGTGACTTTTTAAATTTACTCGTGTAGTTTTTAAAAGATTTCACCACACAAGACGGCATTTTTTTAAAAATAAATCGGAGCAATTGAACGTGTGACTGGCGCTGTCACGCGAGTTCAAATGGCAGCGGTTTGTCCGACCTGGTGCATTAGTGTGAGTGTAGGTAGTGTACAACACACGATTTTGTCTGACCTACATGTCATTGTCATGCTTCACATGATTTGCCTTTGATAATACGTCCGTCTTTTTTTCAGGTCCGTGTAATTAGTATATTTTATTATCTAAAAATGTCTTTGATATTAAGGTTAAGGTAGTGTATGATGTGGATTTTACCTAACCTCAAGGTCGCCAAGAATCGATATCAAATGACCCACGCGCATTTGAATATATAGGGCAACAAAGGCTGACAACGTGAATGATAGACCGACCAATACATAATCAAAGATTGGCCCATGGCAATAGCAGTCTATATTGAATACTAGCTGTACCCAGCCGGGTTACCCGCGATTTATTACAGATATTTTCCCGCAGTAAAACGTAGCCTATGTGTTAATCCAGAGTGTCAGCTAACTCCATACCAATTTTATTAAAATCGCTCCAGCCTTTTAGACGTGAAGAAGTCTCACAAACTTTCGCCTTTATAATATTAGTGCGATCGTATGGTAATTTGGGACAAGGGCGGATCCAGCTTTAGCGCCAGGGGGGGGTCATATACCCAGCTTTGGCCCAGGGGGGGGGTCATATAGTCGTGGTATATTAAATATTGAAAGTACTTAAATAAAATCCCCCTGGGTTTGGTCCATGTGTACCCAGCCCAGGGGGGGGGGTCATGACCCCCCCCCCCCCCCTGGATCCGCCCTTGATTTGGGATCTTATTATAAAATAACTCTTTATCTTGTAATAATAAGTACTGAGTAAAGTGTAAAACCGTTTTTAAAAACCGGCCAAGTAGTAGTTGCCTATAGTTATAGCAATATATTTGAGCAGGAGTCTTTATTTTCCATATCGGAAATTAGAAAAACCAATTAATATCAATCTATGTATCTCAACTAAATTACCTTAATCAAAGTCAAACTGTATCTCAAACTCAATTCGATATATTTTTTTAAATACGAATGATAACCGCCGTTTTTTTTCCTCCCAGGCCGGAGCGGGTGTGAAATCCTCATGAATACCCTACAGCCGGCTGCAAGTTTATGACAGACTCCTACTGACTACACACCCGATATTAGTGGGCTATTGCGTTGGGCCTGGGTGGACTAAAATCTGGGCTATGGAAGGAGACTGCCTATATGGAGTCCCCAGACTGAAAATGGATAAAATCAACATGGTTCTCCTCGGCTACAGGGTGTGGAGAGGTGTACACCGCTTCCTATCCGCTGTCTGTGAAGACAACACGTGCTAACCCGCGTCTTACACATATTTCAAGGGAAGTTCGTTATAGATCTTGCTGGTATCGCAAATAAAAAGGAACGCGCGTAACGTATGGTGCTAGAGCGTCAAGCGTGACGAATGCCAGTGACCATGGTCAGTGCATTCGCCCGGATAGCGAAGGGTGCGGGTTCGAGTCCCATCTGCTGTCTGGTTCGCATGGATTTTTTTCTAGTAAACTTTTCTTTACGTAAATATCTATTATGTACCAACTACATACAGGTTGTCCCAGGTAACCTGTACCAGCGAGAATCTGCCCCATGTATGTTCAGCGAATTATTATAGTTTTAGAGATATGTTATTTTTTGTTTTATTTACCGTTCTTTTTTATTTTTGTTGGTTTTCGTTGTAACATTTTACTGAGTGATCTTTCTTTGTTTTTTTTTCTTGTCAGCATCGTGGTTAGTATGTGTATTTATTTAGAAAAATACAAAACACCCACATTCTAACTAACAACGGCTCGAAATTTTCAGCGCAAGGTTAGTTAATCTTAATAAAAAAATATTTTTCTATTAAGATATACTAAACATTAATTTGGCGCAGTTACCAGATTGGCAATTTATATACCTACATAAATAAATAATTGCCTGCCAGTGGCGTAGCATAGGTCACTAGCACCCGGTGCGGATTCCAAATTTGCCGCCCTCTTATTTTTGCAATCCATTATAAAAAAATTGAGGCATGGTAAAAAGAGTACTTTTATTGAATAACACTAACCTAAGAGTGAAATTATCATTTTTTGACATAGAGTAGAAGGTAGACTACCACAATATCACTTTTTTTTATATTTTCTTTTTCTCTATCTGCCACCTCCGCAGCGCCGCCCCCGGCAAAGTGCCGCCCGGTGCGGACCGCACCCCCCCCCCATGCTACGCCACTGTTGCCTGCTATTGAAAAACTGGTACTGAAGTACCATTATTAAATTTAAACAAATTGCTAAGGTATCAATTACATTTTCACTACAATGCTGAATTGATATTGATGAATAGGACATAAAGTACATATTAGTAGTTTTACAATCCATTAAAACATGGAATAACATACCCTTTTAGTCATTAAATATTGTATAAACCAGTGAAACGGGGATAAAAGTACTATGCAGAGGCAGTCCTAGCTAAAGACGTTATATCATTAATTAGATATTAGAGTTACATATTATAGTGACAAAAAGAAAGGATAAAAACAAAAATTATTTAATTTTATCATTTATTGCATAATAAGTAATTAAACATATTTGAATCCAATGAAAAACAATGAACAATGAAAGCAGGTAATATCCTATGCAATTTATTGTTTCACGTAAAGATACCCTAGAATTAAAAGATCTAAACAATAAATTTACAATCTTGGTCTACTTGAGTGAGAGACGTCCAATTAGTTTATGAAATTACATATTACGTGCTAAACTTAAACTTTCAGTCTGAAGGAATAAGCTAGAATTAAACAGAACCATGTTCAAACACATAAATTGTAAATCAATGAAAATACAGTACCTACATTTAATTTATTATTATAATGATGTCGATTCTGACATGATTCTCTAAAGCTAAACTTAAATTTGACAACAGTGCATCCCTGTCATTCTCTATGCAGAATGAAAAGGAGAGACTGATGTTAAATTTAGTTTTAAGTTTAGAGAATCACGCTAGAATCGACACCAATAATTAATTAAATTTATCTAAACACCACACAAAGCAACAAATTGTCGACTCAAGTTGCCCATAAGTCATGTTCAAGATAGATTTTTAATAAGTGATTAATATTGTCTTTTATGATCAGTCCAATTCAGAAAAATTTTTTGGTTGATATGCTCAATAGTATTTTAGGCATTTCTCAAAAATCAAGTACATACCAACTACAGGGAGTTGTAAAAAGAAAAGCAGTACCTACTGATATTTATGTTTACAATATTTTTATGACAATAACTTAAAATTTCTTATTCGCTAAGTTTAGTTAACATAAGTAATTTTGTATGATCCTTTCTAATGACCATAGAGCTCATTCTGAATATACTTACTATGTTACAAAACCAGTATATTATTGATTTCCATTCTCATAAAATCTTTATATTTATAGAGGTATGAACACTTACAACAATTTAGAATATACTTTGAATTATTTTCTATAGTATTAGGTACCTAAATAATTATTCTGACCACAGTACAAATTTAAATTTTTCTTTCATACCCAATGAATGACAATGATTGAAATTGAACATTGATAAATATATTGAATTTTTTTAGATGTAAGTTCAAGGAATGTTACTTTAGTGCATACAACAACATAGATTTTAAATATTGTAAGCTAACACTACAAATCCCGTTCTAATGGAATATAGACTAATGTAATATATTCTTTGAAAAATAAGTAGCTTTTAACAAAAATAAAATAACTTATGAAAATATATAATTTAACATTATGAGATTCAATTCAACATCTTGTTGCACCCTGCAATTATGCATGAAATTCTGGGTAAGCACATTACAAAACGGCAAATGATAAAAAGGTATGTAGATTTAAATTGAAGTGTGTGTGGTATGCACATAAACAATGTTGTCACTGAACTAAATCAATAGGCATATTGCATAGATTAAATCAATGTTGAAATGGATTGAACCTTCAAACAATCCAGTGCAAAAGCAAATACCCTGGAAGAGCTTAAATACATACTTTTGGAAGAACTTTGTGGGCATTTTGTGATTAAAAAAACCTAATAACATGGGTGTATGTGTTTTTCTACATAATCTACTATATACGAGTGGTTCTTTCTTTATACAATTAAGTGCAAAGCATAATCAAGATTAAGTACAACATTCATAATGTCGTAGATGTTAAATAGATTGATAAAGTTAATAAAACAAAATACACTGAAGCTTTAAATGAGAAAGAATGTAGCAAACAGTGGATTTAGTTATGTGTGCTTAAAACCTAAGCTAACAAATCAAATTAACCTAACCCTCAAATAAATAAACAGAAAATAAACATATTGTGTACAAATATTGTATTTGTAATTTTTACAGTAGTGTCATATATTTATAGAAAATAATAAAGAGACTCTGTTAAAATTACAAATAGCCTTGTGAAGTTCTAGCATGAAAACAGGTCAGCTCAATTCAAACAAGCTTCATGAGGCTTTCAATGTGTCTGTACTTCATTCAAATTATCTTTAAACTGTTAAAAACTTACAAAATGCTTTAATATAACATCTTTAAAAAATATATAATGAAGCAGTTGAATCAGTTTGTATACTACTTAAATTTATGTATGGTCTACTATCACATTTGGTATTGTGAGGGGCTAGAATGCAATTGAAGATGGAGCCATAGAGCATTCCCCAACAGTAACACGGTAAGAAGCAAGTTCACTGATGCCATGGTAATGTACAAAAGCAGCCACAATCACAAGGACGTGGAAGATCTGATGAGATTGAAACCAGATGTCACATTTACCAGGGAACCACCTCTCAGGCACACGTAGTGCATAGAACATTGCACCTAGAATGTAAAGGAGACCCATAAGCACTAACCAACCAAGTGATGCCTTGCTGACTTGGCTGAACCAGCCTTCTGTGATACCATAATGAATTGCAGGTACAATCCCTGATAACCCAAAACCCATGAACACTCCTGCTCGAAGAGGTCTCAGTCGAGGTTCAGAAAATCTGTCCCATAAGGACACTATGATAGACAAAATCCCTAACACAATCACTACAGAAAGATATATTATTTTGGGTCTGTAGTGGCAGTAGAAACTATAGTACAGCCAGGGAACAAAAGAACCCATGATCAGTAGAGCTATACCACAATAATCTAATTTAGAAAATAATTTTCCAACCATCTCCGAATGGCAGTAAAGTGTATGGTAAGCAAACGAAAAGCCAAGGCATACTATAGCTCCGACAAAAAACACACCAAATATCATTTTTTCCTGCATTTGAATTTCAATGGAGGGACGGGTCAGGAAGTAAATAGCCACACCGATGAATGCGACGCAGCCAAGCAAATGGGTCCAGATGTTGCCTGTTTCTGTGTGAATACGGAAAATTGACGCGAAACACGCGCTGAACGAGGGCAGTGGCGGTCGGTGACCTTTGTGCAAATAGTCGTTGTCTTGCAACCAGCGCGGCAGATGTCTGAAGTGACACACGTTCCATGAAGCTTCCCACACCTTGCGGACAAATTCTTCCGCTTGTTCCGCGGCGTTGTGGGCGAGAGCACCCAAGTCGATCTCATCGGACAATACGCCAGCCTTCAACACTTCGGCCATCTCCGCATCGAGCAAATGCTGATCTTCGGGTGTAGATGGTAAGGGGCATCCTTCCTCTTCTTCAGCCAGAACTTCATCGAGTTCATCCATTTGGGACGCAAGGCTCTCGGCCTCCGGGTCCCATCCTTGCCGTCGCCGGAGTCCATCAGAAGACGCACTCAGCGATCCCGTATCTGATTCCACTTCCCACATCGTGAAGCCGTCACAGCTCACGAGAAACAAGCCCCGAAACCATCAGCCGATGCACAATAAACTCGACCTTTACGGTACTTCAACGCGAAATTCTTGTTACGTCACTAATAATTTAGACACGCACTTAGGCAATATTTTCCACTTTCTAGAGTTCAATTAACCATAAATTTAAGACTGGCGTATAAAAAAAGCACAGGACACAAACAATTTCAATACATTTCAAAGTCGAAAAATTATTAAAGGAAAGATATTACGAACAGCTGCAAAGAACTGTCATGCGTCCATCCACCATTCAACCTTTTTCGAATAGATCACAGATCACTTAGATCTGTTTGTCTCTATCACATTGATCGTTCTGTCTCATACAAATAGTGTTGTGAAATAACCGTTTTTAATAGCTTACTACAATACCGTATCTACTATAGCGGGCTACTGAGATCCCTGCCGCATGGGCAATCTAGGGTGTAAGAGTGGGGATGACGTCAGTAGGTGTTAAGTTGTAAAATCCGTGGCTGAGTTAGTAAACTACGTGGCCATATATCAATCAGAAGGACAAGTAAAAGTTATTGTTGATCGTTACTTGATGCTGTCTTTAAAATATTAAGTAGGTGAATTAGTTTTGGCGTTGTAAAAAAATGAATTAGTTTATTTGAAGCTTACTCATTTTCCCGTTGCTTAGCTATAAAAAGAGAAGTTTAATCATGTGGCCAAACGAAGATTCAGTGACTGTACTTATAATTTCTCAAAAAGAATTATTTGGTTTACATGTACGGACAGTACACCAATATTTTGCTAAGTTTTTTATTTTGATATATAGAATGCATAGGTTTCGGCTGTGTCGAGGGTCTCTTTACACCCTGTATATACTTGTTATATATAATAATATTTATTCTAAATATATATGATCCTTGGATATTTATCAATGATTAATTTTACAATTGCTTATATAATCTTGTTTTTTACTTAAATATAGAAATAACGATTAGCTAGAGAGAATAATTAGATATAAATGTCATATTATTATTAAACAAGCTACATTTTTGTTTTGTTGTAACATTACGGTCATTAACTCCCACTAAAGCACTTTATTTATATCCTGTAATAGTGAAAATTACCAAAAAATAAACATCCAACCAACAACTCCTAAGGCAACTAAAAATGGCGCTAACCAGAAGTAAGTCTTTCAAAGTATTATTACAAAGGAAGTTACCATAGTAAACACAATGGCGGTAAATGAAATAAACAGAAGTCGCTTATCAAGAAATCAACGTACAGTCACAGATACTATGCATCGTCTCGGTTGTACTTTTTATCGCAGAACTTTTAATGCCATAAATAGTCATAATACTATTATGCATTTTAGATAAAAAAAAGCCAAAAGACCAAACAAACCGCAAAAAGTTCAGTAGTTTTTTTGTGAAAGTATATCAAACATCCATAAAAACTTTCGTATTTATAAATTTTAGTAGGAAAGATTAGTAGGATTTTGTGAAATAAGTCACTAGAACGAAGCGTGAAAGCGGAACTTGGGGAAGTGGAATTTTACACTAGTTTCATCTCATTATCTTGAAGTTCACGTCTTAGATGGTTTGATTATCTGTGGTGTGTGTGCGAGTTCTCTGTCAGTATTATTCCTAATACCACATTTTCCATAATATACGACACTCGGGCTTTATAGACATTAAAATATTCGTTCACGTACACCAACAATATAAATAATAATGTTTATGAACCGGTACTATTGACATTTAAGATACTCGAAGGCTCTCTGATCGTTGCAAGACTATCCAAAACGTCAAGAAAAATGTATAATTTCCTTCATTATGGATGCAGGTTTAAACGCAAACAATTCTTATTAATTTTCTTTTAAAATAATAATTATGAAATAACACCACACAACACATCAAAAACCACAACGTTATAACGATAATTATTCTGATCATCTTGCAACGCTAGACCCGAAGTAACGGAACGCCCTCATTGGTTCATTTCGGTTACCTATTGACGTCAATTTTATCCAATAAACGGATGACAGTTCGTTTCGTATTTCGCTAATAATAACCTATACATTTTGGCTCAAATTGTTAAAACATGCATAATTTTACGTAGAATGTAAAATAACAATTTATAACTTACTTTTTAAACATGGTGTGAAGTTTCTGCGTCTTTTTATCACACACTTTTCTAATTTACTATCAAAAAACACTTCACCGATCCAAGATGCCAAGAACAATTTCAATTGCTCTCTGTGTATCTGTCACTGTCAATAATTGGCAATTTTGACCACAGATTACGGCTATTAGTACCATGTATCATGGAGGTAAGTACCAAAATAACAAATAAAGAACAGCCGTAGGGTGCGGCCAGAGTGCACTCAGATTCAGATTCAGATTCTGAAAACAAGCGCGAGAATTAAACAGTGTAGTCTAAGGGTGCGGCCAGAGTGCACTCAGATTCAGAGTCAGATTCAGATTCTGAAAACAAGCGCGAGAAATAAACAGTGTAGTCGAAGGGTACGGCCAGATTGCACTCCTGATTCAGATTCAGATTCAGACTCAGAAAACAAAGCGCGAGAAAAAGCAAGCAACCTGCTTAGACTACACTGTTTATTTCTCGCGCTTGTTTTCGAAATCTGAATCTGAGTCTGAATCTGAGCGCACTCTGGCCGCACCCTAAGCAGGTTGCCTGCTTTTTCTCGCGCTTTGTTTTCTGAGTCTGAATCTGAATCAGGAGTGCACTCTGGCCGTACCCTTCGACTACACTGTATATTTCTCGCGCTTGTTGTCTGAGTCTGTATCTGAATCTGAGTGCACTCTGGCCGTACTCTAAGGGTACGGCCAGAGTAAACAGTGGTGTCAATTCTGGCGTGCATCTCTAAACTTAAAACTAAATTAAAGGTCAGTCTCACCTTTTCATTCTGTACAGAGAAGGACAAGGATGCACTGTTGTCAAATTTAAGTTTAGGTTTAGAGAATCATGCCAGAATCGACATCATTGTAGTTAAAGCAGGGTAGCCATAGTGACAGCAGGCCCGCGCAGGTTTCGGAGTCAGACACTTTACCGGAATGTTTAGGTCATTCAGATTCTGAATTCACCAGCGCCGCTCGGACTGCAGATAGGGTTGCCAACCCTCCTATAAAATATAGTTTTAATAGGGGATCAAATACTATATTTCTAAAAAATACGTAGTAGGCGAAATTACTAAATTTTGCTTAAAGCATATTTTTGACAGTAAAAGCTTTCTAAAAAAATATTAGAGATTGTTATTATAATATTAGTAAGGCAAAGAGCAACAAAAATATATTAAAACAAGCTCGAGAAATAAACAGTGTAGTTAAAGCAGGGTGGCCATAGTGCCAGCAGGTTTCGGAGTCAGACACTTTACCGGAATGTTTAGGTCATTCAGATTCTGAATTCACCAGCGCCGCTCGAACTGCAGGTAGGGTTGCCAACCCTCCTATAAAATATAGTATCCTACTTTAATAGGGGATCAAATACTATATTTCTAAAAAATACGTAGAAGGCGAAATTACTATATTTTACTTATAGCATATTTTTGACAGTAAAAGCTTTCTTAAAAAATATTAGAGATTGTTATTATAATATTAGTAAAGCAAGGAGCAACAAAAATATATATATTTCAAAATAAAGTAAATATTATAACCACATACTGGTGTCGATTCTGGCACGATTCTCTAAATCTAAACTTAAATTTGACAACAGTGCATCCTTGCCATTCTCTATACAGAATGAAAAGGAGAGACTGATGTTAATTCTTCATCATGTGAGGTTCAGTTTTTTTTTAAATGTAGTAGTTAGAACGTTTCCACTTCCATCCTAAAATATTGGAAGAAACGTTTCCTATCGACTTTTAATTAGGGAAACAATTGATGGTAGTCCCCATATTCTCCAATTGATCTTCATTAGAAAACTCCTCCATGTTTACAACTGCGAAAACACCCCCAATTTAAGTTTCTGGATCAACAGCTTCGAACGCGTCGAATGAGAAAGAGAGACTGTTGAATGACGGTGGATTGCGACTTTTTACAGATTAAAAGTTTATGAAGTAGTTTTTTTTATATTATGTTTCTCAGCTTCATTCTTTGCGATTTATTGTTTACATATTGTAGTTGCGCCCCCAGGCGTCAGCCCAGCACGGTTTTTAAAGTTTTTTTTTTATACTGGCAACACTGTTTCGCGCCTTTCTTGCACTTCTCTACTCTATGGTCGCTACCCCCACCGAGCTCAGTTGTGGCGTTACTCGCCGGCTGCAATCATTCTGCGTTTCCGTGCTCAAGCCTTCGCACGTCTCTAGTACTGCTATTCAAATACTTTGAACATGGGGAAGAAAAGGAAACATGAGGATAGTGAGGAGAAAATCCGAAGAAAAATACGAAAATTGGAAAATAAATTGAAGCAAAGACCCCGGCATACTTCATATTCATCGGATTCGGAACCATACAGTAAGTAAAACTAAAAATGCCGCCTTTATAAATTGGTATTAATTAAGTGATGCGTGCTGCTAACTGAGGGCTGTCACTGTCACTAAAATCTAGCTACAATAGCTTGCGATGCGAGCAACTAACCTGGGTTGTCTCTGTCGTTTTATATTTCATCAGTGATGCGTTACTGCTATACACAGGGCCGATACTGTCACAATGATATTATAGTATAAAGTTCAACGAGCTATCAAGTTCAGACTACTGAAGCAACAAATTTATTTTCAGATGACATTGATCCTCGGTCTCCATCGCTTCAGCCAACCGTCATGGGCGATGACACTCCGAACCAATGGTCGCGGCACAATGAATCTGTGCCACAGTCGGTGTCGCCATGCCCTTCTGTAGTAGAAGTAACTCCAGTCTGCGACCCAATGGTTACAACTTCGGGTGTGGCACAACATAGTATAGTGCCTGGCATATCAACAGAAAATGACATCACATGTGCCAACGATATTCAGCTCGCTGAGGATATATTGCAGTTGTCAGGGGATGCACCCAAAGCAGAAACTGCCCTACTTGGACCACCTATCCATAAAGATGTAGCCCACAGGTAGCAGGAGATATTGGTTAAGGGCTTGGAAAAGGAGGCTAAGGATAAATTAATAGAATCATATTTGGTTCCAAGTAATTGCGAGTTATTGGTGGCACCTACCCTCAACCCGGAAGCAAAAGCTGCTTTGCCCGAACCTCTGGTTAAGAAGCATTTCTCCATATTGCACAAACAAAAACAAATTGGCATAGCATTAGCAGCACTCGCTACTGCAATGGAGTCCATTTTAAATGATGAAACTTCTAAACAAAAAAATTTAAAGCCGATCAGTGATGCCTGCCGAATTTTATGTGATAGCCACTTTGTCGAAACCAGAACTCGCAGAAATTTTGTCCTATCGTCAATTAATACCGATCTCAAAGATACGTTAATGAATACTACCACAGATAAGCAACTTTTTGGCGAGAATGTAACAGAAAAAATTAAATCGGCTCAGTCTAGTCAAAAATCAGGGCAGGTTTTAAAAACCGTACTTAAAACAAATACAAAAATTATTCTTTCAGATCTAGCACTTCTAACAGCATCAACAAAAACCGTTTAAACTTCAAACCGCAGCATCGGAGAGCGGATTACAGACCGAACATTCCCACCGATGCTGCGAGAGGCCGCCCATCGCATCGTCAAGCACGTCCATCCACTCGGCCCAGGCCGTCGACGACGCGTCGTTCTCCAATGCGCAAAACTTACCGGAAGTAGATCATGAGGTAAAATATACGGGTAGACTGCAATACTTTACTAATGCGTGGTTTCGAATAACCAATGATCCTACAGTGCTATCATGGACGAAAGGGTATAAGATACCATTCGCCTCGATACCTCACCGTAAAGATAAACCTAGTGTTTATCCGCAGTCTTTGCAAGAACGTTGTGAATATAAAAATCTATTCAAAATTTACTTAAAATTAATGCCATTTCAAAGTGCGCCCATGTCGAAGGAGAGTTTTTATCAAGCATTTTCTTAGTACCCAAACCAAATGGTGATTATCGCTTTATACTTAACCTCAAACATTTAAACAAGTTTGTAAAAGTCGAGCATTTTAAAATGGAAGACTATCGCACCGCCTCAAAACTAATAACTAAGAACTGTTATATGGCGTCCGTAGACCACAAAGACGCATATTTTTATATTTCAATCCACCAATCTCATAGAAAATATCTCCGTTTTAAATATGACGGTATACTTTATGAGTTTACATGTCTACCCTTTGGTCTCTGTACAGCTCCCTTTGTTTTTACCAAATTAATGAAACCAGTCATATCATTCTTAAGAACTCGTAACATTATTTCTATCATTTATTTAGATGATATTTTCTTAATTGGTCCAGATTACATAGAATGCAAAAACATGATCCACTTCACTGTAAACCTATTACAGTCATTAGGATTTAAATTAAATCTAGAAAAAAGTTCTTTATTACCCGAGACAAGATGTAAATTCCTAGGATTTATCTTTAACTCTGAAAAAATGATATTAACATTACCTGATACAAAAAAGGAAAAACTAAGAAAATCGATTGATGCACTCCTAAATCTATATAAATATAAATTACGCGAATTCGCTAAGTTTATAGGGCTCTTAATATCTTGTTGTCCCGCCATTCAATACTCTTGGCTTTACACTAAAGAATTTGAATATTTAAAATACTCTTGTTTTCTTAATAATTCTAGTTATGAACAAGCTGTTACTATACCAAAAACATTGCACGATGATCTGCACTGGTGCTTAGAAAATATTGATAACGGGCACTCTCATCTGAAATTAAACATATATTCCCTAGAAATATTTTCAGACGCATCTTCTACTGGTTGGGGTGCATTTTGTAATGGGCATAGCTGTTATGGGCATTGGAAAGACGAAGAGAGGTCGTTGCACATTAACGAACTCGAGTTAAGGGCAGCTTTCCTTGCTATTAAGTGTTTTACTAAGAAGTGATTGCGAAATATTATTGCGTATAGATAACGTCACTGCTATCTCTTGCATTAATAGAATAGGCAGCGTTCAATACCGTCATTTAAATCAAGTAACAAGAGATATCTGGAAATGGTGCGAAAATCGTAAAATAATAATTATTGCCTCTTATATAAACACAAAACAAAATCTAGAAGCTGATTTACTTACAAGTAAGAAGTTCCAAAATACTGAGTGGGAATTGTAGAAGCTGATTTACTTACAAGTAAGAAGTTCCAAAATACTGAGTGGGAATTAT